AAATGGTTGGTTCAAACGCGATTTTAAACTATTCCGACAAGACTTTTTCAATCGTACTTTGCCTCATATGATGACAGATTTTAGAATAGGTGCTGCATTATTGAATGCTTGCAGAGAACCATTGTCAGATAGCGTTCACGCTGAAACATTTATAGAGGTTATAAACCAAAGAATGAACCAACCAAATAACCTAGCAGAGTATGTCCTAGCCAACAACCTTAATCGTAGATGGGCTAGTTTCGATAGCATTACAGGAAACCAACCTAACATAAGTGATTTTCCTTTGCTGACTGAGGAGGATTTAACTATTTTTGCACTTGGTACATACCAAGTGAAGCTAGCCCGCAGCTATTATGCGGAGCATGTGCGACAAGGTCTCTATAATATAGAAACGTATAAGGATCCCGATGTTACGGGCCTAGGCAGGTACGGCATCACAGCAACAAATGTTTGGCTGCTAAGATGTCGAATACAATCTAGACATACTAGGTCAAAAATATATTATTAGTACATTATAGTAGATAGAGAGAAAAGCGGCAGAGAAGCCATAGAAAACTACTATTGCAGTTGTCTAAGCGGTAAACGCACTCTTGGTTGCTGTGCCCACATTATGTGTGTAGTGTGTTATTTAGGGTGGGCGAAAAACCAAGAGGAAGAGATCCGTTTACCAGCTCATTTTTTAAACGATGTTATTGTAGACGACAATTGAATCCCATCATTTTCTTTTTTTAAAGGAATACTAGCATTATATACTAGCATTATATACGAGCATTGTATATGTGTCTGTCAATAAATCGATGTATTTAATAACCAATAAACCTTTAGTTTTATTTAATCCATCATTATCTTATACTTAGATATGCATTACGTTTTATCATTTACGTACTTTCGGTTTAATTAATTTGATTTTTTTATATGATCAACGCTTTATAACTTTTTATCTAAACAAGTTGCCGAAATAATTTTTTACAGTCTTAATATATACATAATTGTCGACTAAAAAATATATAGGGCAGATGTGGCCGCGGATGGGACAAGCGCCATACATTTTTGCCCATTGTCCTTTCAAAATATTTACAAATTCAAGCCTCAACATTAAGAAAGTTAAAACAAAAAATTAATAAAATAAAAATTAAACATTCAAATAAAATAAACAAGAGTGGTATAGCTATACCTGGTAGTTAATTCTACTGATATGATAAATCAATCGAGAAAATACAAAACAAACTAAACGAGAATATCAGTAGCAGAAAGAATAACTAACTGCGTGAACGCAGCGGATAATGTGTCACAAATCGAATTCTGTCAAACTGTCAAGTTAATCAAAACAAATCGACCTTGAGTTTGTTCATTATGAATCAATTTAGATTAGAAAAGTTGAGGTATTTCCATATAATAATAGTTTTTATAACTTTACAGCTTATAGCATTAAAATATATTATAGCATTAAAACAAAAGAAAACTTTAAATTCGGGTAGCAAGAAAACTATTAACTAAGTTAATACCTGAACGTTATGCAATAATCGAAACAAACATGCGGCATCTATTTCCTGTTTACGGCTCGCCGACTGGATTTCACCGCAGCTTTTTCGGCTGGAACTGCCTTCTGCGTGTCACAATCAAGCCGATTAAGTTCACTGAGGGAGACTATGCGATACCGTGCGATACCCTTAGGGTCGTGGACATAGATATGACCCTCACGTGTCCAGTACTTAGAGACACCAAACCGCTCATGTGCAGCCATAAAAATCTCATGTCTGGTTCTAGTTATGAATTCAGACAAAGTGACACTAGACCCCTTGAGTTTGGTTTTAGCAAACCATAATTTGTCCCGAACGGTTGTAAGTTGGAGTTTGAGTAGTATAGGTCTTGGTTTCTTAGCAGCAGTAGGTCTGCCCATTCTGTGGCATCGCTTTATGTCACTTTTTGAGAAACCCTCTACGTTAAGATGGCCTGTCACAACATTTACAACCGATTGTGCCGTGTCTTCATCATTATCCTCAGGAACTCCATGCAACAACAACATTTTCCGACGAGTACGCATCTCCATGCTATCCACCTGATGAGCCAAAAGCTCAATTTGACTGCGTAAGCCAGAAAAGGTACTCATGACAAAGACTTTGAAACCTGCGAAATCTGATGTCAGTGATGCCACAGTTGGTGTGCTGCTAGGGTTTTTGGCACTCCTCTGCAGCTCTGTTTCGAAGGCAGCATGCGTTCTTCAATACCCGCCATGATTGTCGCAAAAGAGTCCTTCATGTTGTTCATTTTAATGTGCACGGTGGTTGTTGTGATTTTATTTTATAAGAAGTATATTTGAGAGGAGATAACACTTCACTGGTAGGTGAATTATATCATCATTTAAATTGTTATTCAAAAATGTTAATAAAAACTACTTATATATTTAAATTAAAATAAAATGCCGACACTTAAATTTTTTGTTGTTGCTGTCTCAACTACCCACAAATAAGAATGGTAGTACAATGTTACATGTTATATATTGTTGATAATGATGTTGACTTCTCACTAAGTCAACAACTGTTTGCACGCATGGCGTAGTAGTTTAAAGCGGTCGCCACGCCGCTTCTTACTGCGCCAAGTGTTGTGGGTTCAAACCCCACATTGTCTTTGGTTGACAAGTTTGTCTTTGGTTACGCGTATCCAGAAGCAACAAGCTTGTGACAGGAATTCCGCAATATCTTTAGTGTGGTCATAAGAGTGCTCACGAAATTTAACTATATCACTGGAGTATTTATTTTCAGGTTCTAAGGTCATGACCAAATTGTCACATAGTTTCTGCCATGTGCCCTTTGTAACCAACCAATTATCTACCCATAATCTATCGTGACCCTTCAAAAGGCTGCCTACTTTCATACGGACTTCATAGTTCTTCATATTATAAATATATAGCTTTGTCAATGTGCTCACACAATTCACGAATGCTAACGTTACAAACAGGATCTAATGACTTGACAGGACTAATGACACTTACTTTAATTTTATTATTATGTTGTGTAGATAAACGATTAGACATATTCTTCATAGTTTGCATAATTTGCATGAAAAAGTCCACCGAAAAATTACTCAACATCGACTGAATTGCCTCCATTCAGGAGGTCCAGCAGAAGTGGGAGGGCGTCCCACTTCTGATAACGGCGCTGGAAGCGCGGCATCATTTTTAGAATGAGTGACGTCAGACTCGCTGACTGTAAGAATGATTGAAAGTAAGGAAACCACCAGTCAATCAATTTATTAAGTATCTTACACTTGATCACATGCACCAATTTATCTACACAACATGAAACAATAGAACCTATTTGGTTGCAATAATTTATATATACTTCCTGCAAAAACATTGCATAAGGCGGACTTAATGCCATTTTCTCCCAGTCAACCTTGGGGTGATGTAGAGATTTGTGTGTGGCAGGTGTATAATGAGATAAATTATTTAAATTGTAGTCGGTTGCAAGATGTTATACTACGCAGATATACTGGGCATATATATATATATATATATCGCACCCTTACTATTAATACATAGGGGCACATCTCAAAAAACCTCACTTTTGAGAAAACGAGATTAAAGATTGCGCGAATTCTTTATTTTCACTTATTTACCTATAACTTCTCAATTTGAAGAGATAAGTAAAAAAAAAACTGGGTACATAATCTACAGTATTCATGCTCAATATTAAATTACCGTAATATCATAAAACTTATAATTCAAGTATTTTAAAAAGCATTTTAAAAAAACCCTCCCAAGTTAGGCCCCTCTCTTATAAAAATTGTTCTAATTTTGAAGGCAGTTTATGGATTGAACCTGTTTAGTATTAAATATATTCCAGTTACAAAGTTCTAAGTCGAAATGATGCTTTACAATAAAAATTTATTATATATTTTACTGATGAAAGTCCCTTTTTAATTAGAAATAAACACGACATAAATAAAATAATTATATACAAAAAATAAATCTTTAATAAAAATGTGTCTCATATAGTACGTATAAACTCTAAATAACACAAGAACATTCTTAATGTAATATTAGGCATAATATTATCTTATCACAGCATAAATCAAAATAAAATCAGCTGAAAAGTCTTGTACATTAATTCTCTTACAAGATCAAAACTAAAATATTCTTATAAAAAAATAACAAAACATAAACTTCTTAAAAAAACATTCAACACACAAACAAAAAAAAACTTTCTTCTTTTGTCTATTTAGGTAATACTTAGTATACTCAGCCTTTGCAATCAGTCACGTTTAATAAATTACATATTTTTTGGAACTAGCTTCAGAGCTTAACTTAGTTTCATAGACATAGAACTAGCTTCAGGGCGTAACTTAGTTTCATTGACATAGTCATATAAATATTTATAAAATAAAAACTACCAAAATATAAATTTAAAAATAAAGTTACATCAACATGTTATTATAGTAAGTTGCATGATAAGGGTCAATAAGTTTCTTTAATTCAAATGGCACGGTATAAGCCTTCTTGATTGATATTTCTTCGACTCCCATCATTTTCTTTCTTTTATTTCTGACGTTTATTTGTTTAAAATCGACTTTGTATGATGTTTTGTATTGAAAAGAAAATGGGTTCCCTTTCTTAAATTTCATTACTTTAATGTCATTCCACGCATTCATTCATTACAGTATTTTTATCTTCTTCAACGTTAAAATTGTAGCCCCACTTATCTTGTAAATCTTTTAAGTTATAAAAGAAGTCATGATTCAGAGTATGAAGTATAAAAGGTTTACCCGTTTTCCTGGCTCTCTGAATTGCTGTCATGTATTGAAGTGGTGTATAAATTGGACCAGCTTTTAAATCTTTTGCTATTTGCTTCTGTATTAACATGTAAACATTATCGGCTTCGTTCTGTGTATGGCCTTTAATAAGGAATTTGTGTGTTATTGACTGCAAGTTTTTTATATTGGTGGTAGCAAACATGTATAATGAAGCTATGTATTTATTTTTATTTTGTCCACAACAATTATCATATAACATTAATATCTCGATCGCCGGCATATTCACAAACATTCTTTAAATAATCCAGAACGCAACTTCCAATCTCCACTGCACCTCTATTTCCCTGTGTTTCATCCCAGAAGTAGCAATGCACGTCACCATAATTTTTGAAATCCTCTTCAGATTTATTCTCTTTTAATTTATTCAATTCAGTCAAAGTAAAATGTTGGCTGTTCAATTTGGATTTATAGTAAAACGACGATGTGTCTCCATTAGGGCTTTGCATAATAGCGTGAACATCGTAGCAAACGCATAAATGAAACTCGTCAACATTCATCCGATCTTTCTTTTTCTTTTCCCGGCTTAAAGCTTTCTCTTCTAGGTGAGTATCATATTTTTGTTTGAGGGCTAGCCTCTGATCAGCCGTAGAGTTTTTATATTGCAAACAAAGATCACATTGATCTTTTTCAGGTTGAAAGAATCCTATATTAAATTGGGTAGTGAAAATCTCATAAAACAAATGAAACTTTCCTGACTGTCGAGATTTATTATTCTGCTGCTCTTGGAAATCTCTAAACAAATCAGAAATACTTTTAGATCCACTTATGTATTCTCTTGATGTCGATGCCCTTAAATAATGTGATTCAATCCGTGGTATACTGTTAATAAATTCAACCATATCTTTCTTCACTTCTACATCCACATGTTTATGGTTGGTATGTTTGCGCCTTTTGTCTTCTTCAATAAAATTGCCATCGCTTACCTTATATCTTACAGTTCGAATCAGTTTAGCTGTTATTCCCAACGTGTTGATAAAAAAGTTTTGCAAACTTTAACCTTGTCATTACTATCATAAATATAGAAAGCAGTGTTTGGTTCTCTGAGTCTTTCAGCATTAGTATATTTATATTTTGGCTGAACGATGGCCATCCTTGACGATATAAACATACGCTGTTGTTGCAGATCTCCTAGTACCCAGAAATATTTGATATTTTCTAGTCTTTTATCTTCATCGAATTTGTTGCTGCATTTCAGTCTGCATTTCTCACTACACGGAGGCTGTTCAGTTTGTTCAGGTTAATTTGTGTATATTTTAATTTAGTTTCTTGAAAGCTCGATAGATGGCGTTTTATTATATTATTAAATCGCGATATGGTTTTGTTCCTCGGTGGCACATAAATATGCACTGATATTAAATAAATTTATCTCGCTCTGAGGTACTGTCTTTCATTTGAATTATCACTGGGGTCTGGGTATTTAGTACCGAACTTGTACAAGGTCCTTAGAGCCGAAGGGCGTTTTTGGAAGAACACAAGTCAAGGCTAGGCAGTAGATAGTAACGGCGATCGTGGCGAAAATTGAGTGGATTGGCGGATATACTTGTTGCTACTTTTTAAGTTGGTGGAGAGTAGCTGTGGAAAAATTGGACATATCGCGTGAGTAGTGAAGTGCGTATTGGACTACAAATTCCTGTGAGTACAATTTTAAGTGTTTCAAAAAATCGTGTTAAGTGTAAAAGACTTTGGAATTGAAGAGTTAATGCATGGACTTAGAAAAATAAAAGTGGTGTCTAGGACTTATAATAGTTTTAAGAAAAAGGGTAAGACGGGGAACCTATGCCCAATTTTTTAGCGATAGTAAATGCAAAACATTTAGAAAAATTTTGCACACTTTTTACGACACTTAGAATACTTCAACAGTGAGTCTACAGGACTTAGAAAATTTGACACCTCATATCAAATCATTTTTTTTCAACGCATTCTACTTGCATTCGTAACTGAAAAGAATTTGAAATGTCGGAAAACAAGACTAAGGCGAGGGATTTAAAAATGTTAGAGGCACAAAAGGACAAAATAATAAAAGGTTTGAAGAATTTTAAAAAGTCTCCGAAAGATAGAATTACACGTCACTACGCAGAGGCCCGACTCGAGACTTTGGAAAGTCGATTTGCAGCATTTTCTTCATGTCATAAGAATTCGGTAGGAGAATACGGAAGTGAGGAGATAACAAAACATTTCGACGACGAAGAGTTTTATGAAACAGAATTTGAATGTTATCTTGATTATAAGATAGAACTTAAAAAGGCGCTGTCTAATAGTAAGTCAGTTGATAGAGAAGTATGTAATGTTACGCCCGATAATCCCGTTAAGTTACCCAGAATCACACTGCCGAGGTTCAGTGGTAAATATACTGAATGGTCTTCTTTTAGAGATTTGTTTGTTTCGTTAGTCCACAAAAATAAAAAATTGGATGATGTTCAGCGTCTTCATTATCTGAAAACGCAATTATCGGATGAAGCAGAACAACTTATCCGACATATTCCGGTTACGGATTATAATTATTTAAAATGTTGGGAGGCCTTAGAATATAGGTACAATAATAAAAGGTTCATGTCCTCTAATATATTAAATCGTTTATTTGGCCAACGCAGTATGACGCGCATGTATTGAGCTCTCTGACATCGGTTATGCCAGACAAAAAGGTAAATGTGCAGGATTGGCTAGCTATACATGAATTAAGGCTAGCTGATCCTAAGTATAGCTCCCCTAACAAAATTGATGTTTTGCTAGGAGCAGAAATTTATGCTCATATTTTAAAAGAGGGCTTGGTCAAAGATCCCAAAGGTTTTCCAGTAGCTCAAGACACGTATCTAGGATGGGTAATCTCTGGGGGCGTCAAAAGCAAAGAAAGTTCCTGCAATCAGCATAACGTGATCACAGCTATGCATGCTCAACTAGACGTCAATGAAATGCTTACAAAATTGTGGGAATTGGATTCAGGGTCTTCCGATGTTAAGAACATTTTAACGCCGGACGAACAGGCCTGTCAGGATTATTATAGCGCCACGACGCAGCGCTATGAAAGTGGTCGCTATATTGTGAGGCTACCTTTTCGTCATAAAGATCCTTTGTGTAAATATGGCAATTCGAAAGATATAGCCATAAGAAGACTCATAGGCTTAGAAAGAAAATTAGCAAAGGCTTTAGAATTAAAACAGAAGTATTCCGATGTTCTAAAAGAATATTTATTTCTTGGACATATGGAAAAAATAACAGACGACATGGAAAAGCAGCGTAGTGATGTTGTCTATCTGCCTCACCATGCGTAGTAACTTTTAAACTTTCGCGTTCCATGATAATTAATATTATTTAACGGGAATTAACGCGATCTCTTATTTAGGGTATTACATACCTCTGGTTTGCCTGACGTTTCGAAAAGGTTGCACCGGCCGTGGTCACAGGCTGACTGGCTCATCGGCGCACGCCCTCCGTCGTCGAATCCGTGAAGTAGAAGGCTCTTCATCTACCCGCACATTTTCGATATTGTTTTTGTGTCGCCATGTACCGTCACATACCACACTAACAGTGTCCCTATTCTGTAAGCAAACCGATGAGTCCCTATTCTGGTGTTTAACCGATTGCGCAGAAAAGCGAGGTGGTATGTTTTTTAACACTGGATTCCACGCTGTAGATAATTTAAAACCATCTTCCCGATTGAAAGTTTTATGCTTTTTAATCTCAATCGCTTCACGTACAACTCTTGAGTAAAAGTGACGTTCGGTGGAGAGGACTTGCGTGCGGTGAAATTCAATCCAGTGGTTGATGCCTGCATCGAGTGCATGTTCTGCAATCGCTGATTTGCTCGTCTGTCGTTTCTTCACAGCAGCGATATGCTCTTTGACCCTTTCTGCAATAGTCCGCTTAGTTTGGCCTATGTATGAGCTTCCGCAGCTGCAGTCTATTTTATAAACACCCGGAGTACAAAGTGGCAATGTATCCTTCGGTGTGCCGACGATGTTGTGAACCTTTATGCCTGGTGTGTATACTGTCGGAATGGAATATTTCTTTAGTACAGACCCGATCTTGTCCGTAACTCCCTTGACATAAGGCATATAGGCCGGTTGCCTGTTCACTTCTGGATACTTGCGTCTTATTTTCGGTTGCTTCCGTCCTCCTTTCACTTGATATCCGTTACCTTTGAGTACCTCCTGAACATGTTTTAGCTCCTGTTCTAAATGTTCAGGGTCACAGAGATCGTAAGCTCTGTTTTTGAGTGAAGTCATAACAGATTGCAAGTGCCGGGGGTGATGATGAGACGTGGCGTGTAGGTATCTGTCCGTATGAGTAGGTTTACGGTACACACAGTGTGACAAGGACCCATCCGATCTCACGGCTACTTTAACATCTAAGAAGGACAACGACCTGTCCGTCTCCATTTCATACGTAAACCTCATTTTGGGGTGAATAGAGTTCAGATGTTGTATATATTGATCCACTTCTTGTTTGTTTCCTTTGACGATACTGAAAATGTCATCCACGTATCGCTTCCATAGCTTAACGGTATTCGGGCCGAGATTTAAAGCCTTCTCTTCAAAATGTTCCATCCAGATGTTGGCCAGTACTGGGGCTACAGGACTTCCCATCGCGACACCATCAATCTGGAGGTAATGTTGACCTTGGAAAAGGAAATAGTTGCCATCTAAACAGTGTTCAAGTAGATCCATATAGTTTAACGGCAGCTCGTTGTCTCTCAGTAGGTCTTTTACGACGTTTAGGCACTCCTTTATTGGAACATTGGTGAAAAGCGACTCCACGTCAAAGCTCCCATGACGTCATCCGGTTCCAACGTCAGATCTTTTATGATTTGTATGAAGTGCCGTGAGTCTTTCACAAAAGACGGTGTTTTGCCTATAAGTGGTTGCAATACTGAAGCAACGTGCTTTGCTAGATCGTAAGTAGGAGAAGCAATTTGACTTACAATCGGCCGCAGCGGTACGTCAGGCTTGTGTATCTTAGGCAGACCATATAATTTCGGTGGCTGGTGTGACTTTGGTTTGTACAGTCTGTTGTACTCGTCTTCTGAAAATAGGTCCTCATTGTCCCGGATTAGAGATCGTATTTTTCGCGTTACTCTGGCCGTGGGGTTGTATGTTACCGGTTTATAAACCTTATTATCACTCAACAGTTCACTCAACTCTCAACTCAACAGTAATAAGGTTTATAAACATGCAACTATTTCCTTTTCCAAGGTCAACATTACCTCCAGATTGATGGTGTCGCGATGGGAAGTCCTGTAGCCCCAGTACTGGCCAACATCTGGATGGAACATTTTGAAGAGAAGGCTTTAAATCTCGGCCCGAATACCGTTAAGCTATGGAAGCGATACGTGGATGACATTTTCAGTATCGTCAAAGGAAACAAACAAGAAGTGGATCAATATATACAACATCTGAACTCTATTCACCCCAAAATGAGGTTTACGTATGAAATGGAGACGGACAGGTCGTTGTCCTTCTTAGATGTTAAAGTAGCCGTGAGATCGGATGGGTCCTTGTCACACTGTGTGTACCGTAAACCTACTCATACGGACAGATACCTACACGCCACGTCTCATCATCACCCCCGGCACTTGCAATCTGTTATGACTTCACTCAAAAACAGAGCTTACGATCTCTGTGACCCTGAACATTTAGAACAGGAGCTAAAACATGTTCAGGAGGTACTCAAAGGTAACGGATATCAAGTGAAAGGAGGACGGAAGCAACCGAAAATAAGACGCAAGTATCCAGAAGTGAACAGGCAACCGGCCTATATGCCTTATGTCAAGGGAGTTACGGACAAGATCGGGTCTGTACTAAAGAAATATTCCATTCCGACAGTATACACACCAGGCATAAAG